CTGTGCTTTCCAACCACGAACACCTCGAGTGTATGATTTCAAAAAGTGATAACTAAAATGAAAAGAAGATGTGGTGACTCATTACTGTGCTTATTTGTCCCAAAAGCACCTGTGGTTGTATTTGATTTTAAAAACTTTTGTCCATTATATTACTGTCAAACCCATTTTTTGGCATTAATTTTAGATGCATCATTCTTGTTTGAGAATTTTTATATCTTTCCCATGACTCCCAAGAGACAGTTCATATGCTAAAATTGTTTTGAATATCTTTTTAAAGAAATTTAAACATTGCTTTACCCAATACACCAAAGTATCATATACCTTGAAATAAATACCGTGCAGAACGAGTGACGTCACAGTTCCTCATACCACGAAACGGTTTAATAACTGCGTATACGTATCACGTATAAGAATGGAGAATAAAAAGCATGTAAAAAAAAATTAAGTGTTTGCTAAAATATTTACATTCGCTGTGCTTTTCTAGTAAGCCAACAGTGAAATTGATTTGAATACCATTTTTGTGTATACTCACGCGTAGAATACATAGACTTTAGTAAAAATGTAACAATATAAGGCAGCAAAAAAATCAAATATTGAGGATATTCTTGGTGCTCTCAAACATGTAAAATGTATATATAAGAAATGTTTTTAAGTTTTGTGTGAGTTATTGGTGTGTGTATCACACAGACTTGCACGTAGGCATATTTTTCATGAAGTGCTAGCGCGCTTCATGAAATATGCCATATATATATATATATATATATATACATATATATATATATATATATATATATATATATATATATATATATATATATATATGTATGTATATAAATATATATATATATATATATATATATATATATATATATATATATATATATATATATATATATTATATATATATATATATATATATATATATATATATATATATATATATATATATATATACTTTTAATTCAATTCTTCTCAGTATTTTCAAAGAACCTTGAACCCTTGAAGGAGACCTGTACAACTTCAATTTGGGCAAGAGATTAATCGATTATTTATTTATTTTTATTTTTTTTTTTTTGCTATATTTGGCTTATTAAAGGTTCTCGGTACCTATGGCTTAGTTTACAATTATACAGAAGCCTTGATCTCGTATGAATTCTTCCTGGTTGACATGGTACAATTGAAATACGATACTTCTTGACTTAGATCAGATTTAGTTAGGATCTTTATGTCACAAAGGTAAAATTAAATTATTATTATTACGAAGTCAAAGAGACACTATCTTCTTGTTCTAAAAGTAGCTGTGGTTACACAGATAACGTTTCAAAAGTTATTATATAAGTTAAAATTCTGTCATTCATTTTAATCCAATAGAAAAAATTCTTGTACGAGAATTGACACTTGCACATTTATCTTTTTCAAGTTACGAGCATCTTATTCGCTCTTTTCACATTTCTCTCTGATAATCCCAGTCCTGAAATGAAAAAAAAAACTATTTCCGAAGGGATAAAAGATTGTATTCAGTTTTCCTCATAACCAGAGATTCAACAAACTGAATATGGTATATTTTTCGCTTCAGGACAGAGTACATGCAGAGATACATACTGTATTACTCCTGACTACTTGTGGTTCGAAATTGATCATTATACTGTAAATCGATACCTACACGCGAATATCATTTATAAAAAAAAAAAAAGTTGAGTGATACTAGTATAACAATAAAAAAATTCATACGTATACTGCCCAATAAGCCCCGAAGTCAATTAATTTGAATCTTCTTCAAATATGTACTGATTTTTACAAAATGATAAATTAAGACTGTCGACAAAGAGGATGTCAATTTTTTCACAAAGACATTATTAACATGTACTAAAGAAAGTATTTGTGAAGATTTCATTTTAATATATTTCCAAAAGAGATTGTGAAGGAGAGTTAAAATTACACAATAATCAACAAAATTTAAACTATGAAAAATATTACTTTGTCATATGGTTCTAAAAATTTCATAACTTCTTACATATTCATAAAGAAACAGTAATTAATTCATTTGTTTCTATACGTAAATATTTTTTGCGCAAATTAAGTTTAACGGTGCATGTAAATATCATGTTATGATGAAAGTCACAACTTTGAACTTATACAGAGCAGAGTTTGCAATTTTTTTATTGTTAATGTATTTCAAGTATAATCTTCTATTTATTCAATTCATGTATTGTTGATATCAAACATAACTTTTAAGACAAGAAATGAGGGGTAAAATGGCATTAAAATCATTTGTTATACCCTTATAAATATCATTCTATATATTTATTACTAATAAAAAGTCCAACAAAAGAACTGTTAATTACTGTCTAATAATTTCACTATTGACCAGTCTTACATAAAAATTGTTAGACCGCAACGTCACTGTTACGTCACAGGTAATTTTCGTGCAATTTCGGCGACATGGAAATAACCGAAGTTAAGTGCAAGACTTGTCGTTTGCTACAAAGATGGCGTCACACAGTAGGTTCTCGTATACAGACGAGAGTGAAATTGAAAGTATTCTTAATGAAAGGGACAGTAAGAACACTAGGAACGTAATAAGATCAGCTGAAAACATTTTAAACGAATTTTTAGTATATGCATGTGATACTTCTCTCTCGGAATTACGCCTAAAGCCAAATGAAGGGATCTGCTATGTTCTTCGGAAATTTTACTGTGGGGTGCGAAAACAAGATGGATCAATGTACGCAAAGTCTTCGATTTGAGGTTTGGTCTTCAGAAGTCGTTCGGGAAATCAAATGACATTGACATTGTTAACAATGAAGAATTTAGTCGTGCTAATGTGGTGTTTTCGGCTTGTCTCGTGAAAATTAAGAGAGAGGACACTGGAGAAGTAAAGCATAAAGAAATCATCAGTGACGGAGACATGAAAAAACTGTATGACTGTGGCGTTTTCAATGTCGATAACCCAAAGACTTTACAATGGAAGGTTTTTTTAAAATTATGTTACATTTTTGTAACAGAGGACAAGAGAACTTGAAAAACATGGAAAAAAGATGATTATGTCATTAATGTAGACGCGGATGGGAGGCGCTTTGCTGTGAATAACATATCACGACTAACAAAGAACCACAGGGGAGACTCTGGGGATAATGACACTAATGCTGCCCGCATGTACGAACAACCAGGTATGTAGATTTCCCTTCTTATAATTACAAATATTAAAAAAACTGGAGTCAAACAATTTTTAAAAAAATCCATGAATTAACACGCTATGTTTCTTTCTTATCATCATTTAAGAAATCCCAATTGTCCGGTGGGCAGTTTTGAAAAATATATTAAAAAACTGAATCCAGAATGCAAGTCACTGTGAAAAGGCCAACATCATGTGACCCTGACAACCTTGACCTTTGGTATGACAATATGGTGGTGGGTAAAAATACACTTGGAAAATTTATGCAGTTAATCAGCAGAGAGGCAAAACTTGCTACAGTATACACAAATCATTCTATTAGAGCAACATGTATTACAATCTTGGACGAATCGGGATACGAATCAAGACATATTATGGGGATATCAAAGCACAAATCTGAGACAAGTTTGAAACATTATTCTTCTAAATTGAGTGAAAAAATATAAAAGAGATATGTCAGATGCTTTGAGCAGAAAAATACATGTGTCAAAATTTCATGGTTCAGAACTATATTTATCAAGGCCTTCATCATCAAGTGTTCAATCAATCACATATTCTTGTGGATCGTCATCTATGGCTCTTCAACCAACCTCAAATGCAGGCCCCGGGGCTGTGAACGAAATAGTACAACTTGTGTCCGAGTCCATTGACTGGCTTGGTGATGTTGATGATGACGCACTTACAGCAGTGTTAAATGACCCTACGATCTTTGCAGATGTTCGGGAAATTCCAAAGTCTTCAGTGTCCACTGTAACGCCTTATAACTTTCATGGCTGTACTGTTACTATCAACAATTATTCATCCAATACAGGGGGTCAGTCATAGATATCTGCGATATACTTTCTGTGATAAACGATTGTGATAACCAAAGTGATAACTCAAACTGTGAATACAGTGATTTACGAAATTTATTATTTCTGTTATTTAATTACTAATTTCTCTGTTATGATAATAACAAAGTTAATATTTTTATTGTTTGTTACAGTTTTTTTAATTGTTGAAGCCAAAAAGTGCAAATAAATTTATTGTTAAAAATATTTTTTGATTAAATGATTAATCTCTTCTTAAGTCTTCACATTGTGTTTTAGTATGTATATATCTTATCTGAAGGGTATAACAAAACAGTTATAGACTGGGATTAGGGCAACATATGATTTGTTGGACCTGAAGGTGAAAATGTTGTCCGAGGTCGCAGGTCTAACAAATCATATGTTGCCCTCATACCCAGTCATTAACTGTATATTATTAACCTTACATAGTATTTTCTGTCACCTGCAGTGCCCGGAGCGGCTAATGAAACAAACCTTGCTAAATATTGTTAATCATAATATTTCTTAATGTCCCACGTATTAGTTTTTTTGTTTTTTAAACATCATTGTAACAGTTTTTCCTTATATTTTCTTAACAACAAAAAGAAACACGTAAAAATAAATTTTGCACTTTACCAAAATATAACCATCGAAAACCAGTAGAGAATAATCGATGTACAAAATTGTAAGTATTTGGTTGTAAGAATCGTTCAAGAACTTAGAACATAATAAATTCACTGTACAGAAAGCAATTTTTATAGAAATCCTGATGTTATCATGTTTACATTCGTTAAATAACGGACGGAACAGCTCAATGACTTTATGCATGTTTTTTTTATCTCATGTTATATACACTGTATGAAGAAGAGTTTCGGCTATACAATATGTGTACTTTTCGCTAATCGAAAGATTAATGTATGTCATCAACAAATTTAAGTCCTTTCTAACGCTGCCTGCTGACTATAAATGTCTGTTCAATGGAGACAGAACAATAGTTCAAGTAATGTCATAGGATTACTATTAGTATCAGGTGAAATCATCTCGATTGCAAGTTTCACTTGTCCTTTCACAACTCTTTTTATTATCATCCCATTTTAGAGTCTCCGGACAGTTCATAGTAAAGTAATAATTATTTGCACAAGTCACGTAACCATGACAAGTGTCACATGACTGGTAATTCCCGTCAGGGACTCTCAAACAGCTTTCCTGGCATTCCCCGGTAGTGACGTTTAAACTGTTATTTATACAGCCACCTGAGATAAGAAAAAAAAATACATTATTTTATAAATGTTTTCACTTTGAAAGTTAAATTAGTTGATTTCAGGATAATTACACTTCAATGTGAATTTCGCCAGGTAAAACTAGGAGCTTTATATGCATGTCAATCTCCTTCAGCTTACTCTGACCCTGACGCCAATTGACTATTGAAATTCACGTGGAAGACTTCGTGAATTTTAAAACTTTTAGACAGCAGTTTTTTTTAATTTATATTTACAATTTCATTTCACCATAAATGGCCCCGTGGGGATCCGGGTTAGAATAGGTCCTCAGTACCCCCTTGCTTGTCGTAAAAGGCGACTAAATGGGGCGGTCCTTCGGATGAGACCGTATAAAACGAGGCCCCTTGTCACAGCAGGTGTGGCACGATAAAGATCCCTCCCTGCTCAAAGGCCGTAAGTGCCGAGCATAGGCCTAAATTTGTAGCCCTTCTCCGGCAATGGTGACGTCTCCATATCAGTGAAATATTCTGGAGAGGGACGTTAAACAGTATACAATCAATCATTCAATCACCATAAATGATAATATAAGGAATCAAGGTCTAGTGTGTTTTATATGCCAGGTATACCAAAAAGCTGAATCCATTCTGCAAACGATTCTACACTATGCCCTGACATGCCTATCAAACTACACAGTGATTCTTTGAATAAATATTTTGATACTTTATACTAGTGATATTTGGTAACCGTTTGCAACCTCTGATTTTTTTCCTGTTTTAAAGAATGATTTAAGATCAAATTGAACGTGAATAAAAAATGATACTGTAAAATCACATATTTTCGTGGGGTCAAATTTCCTTTTTTTTTTTTTTTTTTTTTTTTGAAGAAAGTTGGTTCATGGGGATTTTAACAAAAAAGTAGTTCTGCATATGAAAATTTACTTTTCGTGGTGGGCATGACTTCGTGGGTCTCTTCATACCTCGAAAACAACGAAAATCAAACCCCCACGAAAATTAGTGATTTCACAGTAATTACCGTCAAAAACAATTTTAAATTTATATTTATACATCTAATGATTTAAAGAACAAAATTATCATACCTCCTATTCTCGATTCAATTAGTGCTGTCAACTCGTCTTTTAGATCTTTTAATAATTCTTTCATTTTGTCTTCTAGAAAAGTATTGCTTTGATTTGATTGTTCTTTCAACATGTTCTTCAGTTCTATGGATGATGTTTTGGTGTCATTAGATAATGTTTCCATTGTATTTGTAATGTTGCTCGACGAAATTTGTATCTCGTTAGACAACGCATCCACCATGTTCCCAATTTCATTCATTGAAGAATTTGTTTGACTCGACAAATCTTCCACCATGTCCGTCATTACTCTGAATGATATTTGTGATTCCTTTGATAAAGAAAGGCTTATATTTGTCACATTTGAAATTTTTTCTAATTGCATTAGAGTGTCATTTATAAAAATACTCATTATTTCATCTTCTTCTCTTTGATCTTCAGTAAGTTTTATCAGTGTATTGTTAAAATCGTCACTGTCTACAAAGAGAAAGAAAACAAAATTGAAGCTTTAGGGCCCATTAAAAAATATTTTACCAATTGGAATACGGTGCTAATACAATGATCATTTTTAAAAGCTTTAAAAATGTCAAACAACCAGGAAGATATCTGCATAATGTAGATATTGAGCTATTGAACATATCAGGAGAGCTCAAAAGACGGACAGACCCAAATTAATATCCCCCACTTTTCAAGCGGGGGACAAAAATAATGTAAAAAAATATTGAAAGGTCCCGTCATGAACCTGAATACAAAATGTTTTATGTCTTCAAGTTTTCTAATAATTCTTGTTTGACAAGTTAACAAAAAGTTTAGAAATCAGACAGTACGGGCTAATTTCTTTTTTGAACTTTAAGGTCCTTTGACCTTTTGTTTTCGGGTATGGCGATTGTTTATCGAATAAGTGGAATTTTTAGCAAATTTAGCGATGTATCCTCAAGAGTTCGTATATATGTATAATTAATGTTAAGAAAGATATATATAACAATCCATAAGGGCTAAATGGTTAGTAATATTCAATTGTGGAGATCTTAAATCCCTGCCGACATGTTTACGAAAATTTCATTAGATTGTTCTTAAGAAATTTTCTAGGACATATCTTAGGAAAATTTTACGATCATCGTAAGATTATCTTAAATTGTTTTTCAAAGCTATCTAATGATAATCCTAAACTAAGAAATCTTAAATCATTATGACATGGAAATATATGTACGCAAAGTTTTAAACCATTGTCAGGAATCAGAGAGTTGTCATTTTTGCTATATCATGCTAGACATTATGTCATCGTAATGAAAATATTTAAGAGTAAACTTTTTTAAAAATTGACTTTTTTAAAATCTATAAATATAAACATTTTATATATTATTTTAATTCATCATCTTATTTCGACGCTGAAATATCAAATTCAAACAGAGTACAGTTTGATCATTCAGAATTCTTGAACGATGAAAAGCGTGCCAATTTGCTCCATGGAACCCTTATTCATTGACAAATTCTGGTTCAACAAGTAAACACCCAGCAGATGAGTTGAAAGAGAAGCCCTAAATTTTCTCAGATTGAAATCAAAATACTGATTGATGAGGTGGAGAAACAAAGAGCAATTTTATTTTCAAAGTTTTCCAAAGTATCTACAAATTCTTCAAAGAAAAGAGCATCGGAGGCAATATATGAGAAAATTAACAAGGTAAATAACATCGACCACTGCAGGACGACAGAAGAAGTGAAGAAGAAATGTCTTGTTACATGAACGAAACAAAATAAAAGGCAGCGCAAAATGAAAGGGAAGCATGGAAAACTGGAGGAGACTCCCCCATCCCCAACCAAAATTCGACGCAGGAAAAAGATTGTGAGAATAATTGGTTATATTCCATTTTTTGGCATAAAGGGCGGTTTCGACAACTGTGAGGTCACCGAAAAAACAATATACATGTTATAGTTATATGTACTTTCTCTCTCTCATGTTAAGTGAGATTAAATTGTTTTATTCTCTTACTGTAACATGTAACAGATTTTATTATACCTCATTATAATTATTCTTCACAACGCGTTATCTGATTGGTTCTAGATTATCACGTGATCGGGCCATAAAACTTCATATTTCCCGTCGTCGGCATGCTTTTCATCATATTCCACCTCTTCGGAACACCTAGTGTATTTTCCCGCAATCAATATAATCAATACAAGTTTATCTTTTAAAAAGATAGGTGAGCTAGCGCCGTAGCATTTCTTAAACACAGAAAGGAAGATCCGTGATCAAGTGATTTATTTTGCTGAATTCTTTAATTTTTATCAATGCTGGAGAGTGATAAAGTTATTATTGTTCTGTGAGGCTTATTTTGTAGACAAAATGTTAAGAAATAAGGGGGTATGTGACCTGTTGGAGGTTTGGCGCAACAGAACATATAATTATGACCTTTACTGGAGAGGGGGGGGGGGTCTATATAATATGAAGAAGATACCGATTGAGACATTGCATGTATGAGCTGATTTAAAGAAGAGAATTTCTTGGCAATGTAGCAAAGAAAATACATGGGAGCTGAAAATAATATAGAAAATAACTCGTTACCCGAGGTCGCCATGTGCGTTCAAGATGTCGATGTTCAATGTGTCCTGCAATTCACATTAATTCACAAAGTGTATGTCGTGTAAAGAGTCCAGAGAGTTTGGAACGCATGTGAAGTAGCTTAATTGGTCCTTTAGGTCATCTTTGTCAAGATATGTTAGGTTAAAAGCCATACACATCAGAATTTTTTAAACACAAATAGTGGATTTATTCGTTAATTGTAGTATAAATTCTTGCTTCTGTTCTTGAATTTGTAAGATTGGCTGAATTGACCAATCAGAAATTAGAATCTATCTTTGATTGCGCTTAGATGTAAAAAAAAACAAAAAAAAAACCAACAACCTCCCTTGTCATCGTTTAGAACAATCAGATAATGATTCGGGCTTTTCCGTCTGCAAACCCCCCCCCCCCCGAATTTGAAATATTATAAATATGAAGTTATCTTAAAAGTGTAAGTTATACAATAAATAAACAGTTATTTCATGTTACAACACGATACAACGAAATTGTTATAGTACGGTCTATCTGTAGTAGTTTTTCACAGTTTTCCCAGAATGCACGGCCATGGCGGCCGAGCATGCGTATTCAAGCAATTTGGACTAACGTAGTTGCTAGCGCTCGAGAGCGCTAGCAATAATCATCGTTCGTTCGAAGAAAACTCCCGAGAGTAGTCAACGTCACAATAGACTGGTTTACAAAAGTCATAAAAATGCTAATTAGAAATGTGTAAAAAGGTTTCAGAAACTTTGACGTTAAAAATGAAAGTGAATTTGAGAGCGGTGCCGAATTTGAAAGTTAATTTTTATTTCAACGTTTTTGCTTGTTTCGGTATAATAAACAATTCATTGCATGACTGTTCGGGAAATATAAAGACTTATTCAGCCAAGAAATATCATATTCCCCTCGGGCGAAGCCCTCGGGGAATATGATTTTTCTTGGCTGAATAAGTCTTCATATTTCCCTCACTATCATGCAATAAATGTATAATATCTTACTACGTATGTCATGCATATGCATGAGGCACTGAATGTCATGAGAAATCAAACCATGGGTATTCTTGGAAAGTACATGCATGCAGACACGTAATTTAACACCCGGGGGGGGGGCGTATATGACGAGAAATACACATGATATTGCATGGTTTCTGAGGAGAATATAGAAGAATTTCTCATAGGAGGACGTTTGAGTTTATTTTGAGATTGTTCAAATAAATCATGGATTAAAGATCCAGAGAGTCTATACCTTTTTATCATAGCATCATCATCAAGGTAGTCAAAAATGGTTATCAGTATCTCTAAATACTCTGTCACGTCTGATCCGACGATTTCGTCGAGCCAGCAACAACCATAGGCGTTTGTTTTAGAATGGAGTATTCTGTGTATTATGACTATGTGTTTATCTAGGTGTGTCTGAATACCCTCGTTAAAATAAAAATAGAAAAATCGCTAAAATTTGCACGTTTTAAAAATGTCTTATGACTGCATTGCGGTCATTTTTGCTTCAGATCGACTTAAGATATGTCAAAATCTGTCGTAACTTTAAGATAATTCTTAAGAACATTCTTAAGTTAGGATACTTTCGAAAACCTCACATAGTCTTAAGAATTGTCGTAAGTACAGTATATCTTAAGACGTTTATTAGTCCTAAGATAATTTCGGAAACATGCCTGCTGGTTATATTTACCCTGAATCCACCCTAAAAAAATTCTGCTTTAACGATAATCTTGCATTTGTTAGTTGAATTTATAAAAGAAATCTATGATTTACGATTATATGAATTGATTAAGTTATGCAATATAATTCATTTAATAACAAAGAAGGTCATAAGCAAGAGGTAAAATTGGTCTTTCAAAATTTCAAATATGACTTTAATCTACCTTTACTTTGCTCACTCCAAAGAGAACTGGTTTGGGCCTGAACGTTTTTATTCAGGTCGTATATCTTCCGCTGGTCATTGGCTAAATATGCGAGCATAAGTGCTAGTCCTGTAATCGTTACTGTTGTGATGAATATTTTGGCAGCCTTGCTCATCTTGTTACAGATACCTTTGCTTTTTAAATTATCCTTTATGAAGCAGAATAAAAACCAAATTAAAAATACTTTTTTTTTAAAAATGACAAAACAAACAAAAACCACAAAAACTAAAATCCGATTTTTACCAACCTCAGTTTGATGTTTATAGCGGTCAACATTTACATAGTAGTGTTTTGGTAGCTGAAATTATTTAAGTAAATCCTTCACAATTTTTAAAAGTAATAAAGGTATATTTATTCTTTTTAACTGCTGCAAACAATTTAAGTAAAACTTTTGTGCTATATTTTAACATGTATTTCAATACTAAATTTAAAAAGAACTCACCTTTGAACAGCCACGTCGCTGAGGTGTTGCCATCCTATGACCCTTAAATAATTTTATATATGTACAACTTAAATTAGTTAAGTGTTGAAAATCTTAAATGCATAAAACGTACCGATCTACCCTTTAAATGGAGATATGAAAAAATTTAAACAGTATTGAATTTACACTAACTTAAGATGCTTGAATATTTTATTTTTATTATGTCTGATTTTTTTCCTTCAAGTTTGAATTTTGATTGTTGCCCCATCCTTCCCCTGAGGGTCATGATCTGGAAAACTTGAATCTACACTATCAGAAGATGCGTCCATATAAATTTAACAAATAAATGCTTTGTTGTTCTTGAGAAGAAGATTTTGTCATATGTAATTGTGGCTCACCCTACCCTCGGGGTCATGACTTGAACAAACTTGAATCTGCACTACCTGACAATGACTCCAAATGATATTTTTTATCTTTCCTGGTTCATCATGCAGTTCTTGGGAAGTTTTAAATGAAGCCTTTATTTATTTATTTTTTTTTTTTGGGGGGGGGGGGGGGGACTGCGTGGTCGATCCTTCATTAGAACAAATTTAAACCCTTCAACTTATAATACCCTTTACTAATTTTTTTTGAAATTGTCCCACTAAGTATGAAGAAAACTGGGAAAAGTTTACGACAACACCAACGACTACAACAATGACGACGACAGACAACAATGATACTCATGAGTTCTTAAATAATCCTTCTCAATGTGAGATATGACAGTATTTATATGCATTTCAGAAAGGAAAAAAGTTTTTCCTTGAAATTCTACCATCATTATACGTTTATATAGTGAAATTGTAAACGTCTAAAACCCTTATGGAAAATTCCCAAATTAAAAAAGCTCTTTAAAAGACTAGAAAAGTTGTTTTCATAAATGAATAAAACTCTTACATTTCCCGTTGGGTGTGTTGGATCCTGCAACAAGTCAAAATAATTTATAAACATTTAAAACCTTACTAAATTAACACATTATCTGAAAATAATGAAATAATGAATACTATCTTTACTCACGATAAATATTGCTGGTCCTATCATAGATTCATCAATATGATAATTGAAAACATCTGAAAACGATAAAATTACACTATGTAAGTCTGTATCTTCGGAAATACTGACAAGTTTCCGATAAACAATGGATGATTTAACTTTATAATGATCAATGTCAAATTGTTTTGAAACTTACTATTGTCATATTGTGACTCTCTTGTATCCTGCAAAATGTATACACCATGTAGAATTATGTTTTGAATCTATCAATTTAAACAATTTTCAGTACTTTTTTGAACCATTATGTTTTGCTTAAAGATTATGAAACATTTATTAAATACTATCTATATGCAGATCATCTGTAAGCTCTAAAAGACAACATAATTATTATTTATACTAACAGTTATACTCACGTGTATATTTCTTTGTCTTTCATAAAGATTGTTATTTGTCCTTTAAAAAGTTATATAAAGTCTCATGTATGATTTTTTATAGTCTCAGAATAATTATCACATATCACAATGATATTAAGAAACCTATATGTGCATGTAGACTAAAAGTGAATGTAAATAACGCACATTTCTGTCTGCTTTTGATATCTATGGATATAGGCATATGTTATTTTTTATGCCATATTATTGTTTATCTTCTATAAACAGATTTGAAAAGAAATATAAATTTGCTCCCATGAATCTGAATTATTTCTTGTTATCTCGAATAACACTTCACAATACAATTTAAACAACATAAACGTTATTATATAAATTGCTCTTTACAAACCCATTACGCAAATCGCTATTTAAAGGTTGGTTTTGTTGTTTCCAATGACGTAGGCATGATACGGTATCAAATTGCGAAAGCATGGCAGGGTTAATCATAAACCAACCACTGAGAATATAATTTCATATTCTTCGTTTTCAAGTGTCTGAAAGTCACATCATATCTTTAGTGTTAATTTATTTGAGTAACTTAAGCTATAAATTCCACAATAATTTGTTCCAAGCCTCTACCGGGAAAAATGATATACTAGCTTTTGTAGCCCGACCTTTAAAAATAGTGACTTTTTTCAAGAGTTTTCATGAGAAACGACGAAATCTTCATGATAATCGTAGCATTTCACTCAGAAGTATCGATTGTTTTTAGTTTTACTTAATTTTATTAATCTTACCCCTCAGCTTCTGAATATCCACTTGTGGCATTGGATGAAGTATTTGTCTGTAGAAAAAAAATGTCATATCATAATGGATGAATAAAACATTTTAAAAAGATAGAGAGAAAGAAATAGGGAGAAAAAGAGAGAAAGAAAGGAGAAAGATATTGTTAACTTATATTTTTCACAATGGTTTATTTATTAAATCGTTTGGGTAAAAAGGCAAAATTATTTCAAACCAATTACATACTTTAATGATATTGTATTCATACTCAAAATTATATTTAAATGAACATTTATTATATTTGTAATTTCTTAATGGTAATTTGATTAAATTTATGTTTGTTACAAAAAGAGTTGTCTTGGTTTTACATCCCTTTTTATTATTTTGTCTCCATGATCTTCATTCATGTATAATATCTTGAACTGCAATCTCGTGTTTTAAAAATCATTGTCTTTATTCTTTCCCTCCCAATACATATAACTTTGGTACAATGAACATACAAATCTTAAGTGAAATTCTATACTAGCTTTGAAGAGGGGGTACCTAAGATTCGTTCATATTTTTGTTCAACCTTTTGTTGGATCTGATAGTCAAAAACGTGTTGCTTGCGTGGCCTGTTTAACATGCATGAAAAGGATACCTAAAAGTATGCCAATTTAAAAGCGAAAATAACAATCAATGATTGGTCAAAAAAATTATTAACAAAAATGTGAAGAGGGCACTTAACACGGATCAGGTGTTTAGAAGTTGTAATCATCCCCGTTGATCAGTCACAACCGCCGTGAGCCATGTGTATTGGTAAGGTATATGGAACTTTCCTTTCTTAATTCAAAATAAAAAAAAACAATACCGACTATAAACGATGATGTTGAAACCCCTGTGACATCATCTTATCAGTGGATAACATGCCAAATTTCAAAACTGATCCTACTCAAGGCAAACGCTTGATTAGCAAAAAAGCTTATAAGTTGGAAGTTTATAAGTTGAAATATATAAAACCATAAGAAGGTGTCTATTCTTCAGGGAGGGAGTGAGAACTAATACTTACTAAGGTACTTCCTTGTCTGTTGTTCTGAATTGGCCTAAAAAGTTAAAAGTTTTAATACATGTTCATCGTACAAAAACAGCTATCACAATGTAAGAAACCTACACTTGTGTGTGAAACAAGAGAGTACATGTAGATCTTTATATGTATAGTTCTTGCAGGTAGCTACTATCGTTTTACAAACAGCGTGACAGTTTGCTTGATAGTGCGTGCTAAAATTTTGTATGCCGATTATCATTTTACTCATCGATTGGACGATTGATTTCAATGGAATCAATAATACTTTGCATATGAAACAGAGAACCCAACAATACCACCGACAATACTGACCAATCGTTTTGAATGACATGTTTACGGGTATGCAGTAAAAAACAATTACACGTGGACGGACAAAGCAAGTTTTACAACCTATAATAATAGCTACATAATCATAAGTTTATAACAGTAGCAGAGTAGTCTTGCTTACTAATTCCATTCTTTGAGTTTTCTAATACATGCACGTAGGCCTATATAAAACCCCATGCGGTCAAATCACAACAAATATAATGCACGCTTTTTTTTAAGGACAGAAAGCAGTATTAGACAGACAACGTGCTGCTGGTGAGTACAAATGCCGCACTGGTAAACAAGCATTCAATGTGATTGGCCAGTATTATCAGGGTATTGTTGTATTCTGAGTTTCATATGCAAATTATTATATTAATTCCATTGAAATCAAACATCCAATCGATGAGTAAAATGATACAAAACTTTAGCACGCCCTATCAAGCAAACTGTCACGCTGTTTGTAAAACGATAATAAGTTGGTAGAGGGCATGTTGCGTATAGATAGATCGTAACTTCGCAACCTGCCATAAAATTTTAAAAATTTATAGGTTTTATTTTAGTTATACTTAGTTCCAGAAACATGCCAACTTGTATTGACAAGTCTAGCAATTTTAGAGCAAATTAATACTCAGTATAAAATTATATTTCTTTTCCTTTTGAAGATAACTTTACTCTTAAGAATATTTCAAAAATGAATACTAACAAAGGATATGCAATTTTTAATAATTATTATTGTTAGATGATTGTTTTACTTTTAGTTATTTGTAAAATACGAATTTTTGAGAGGTACTTATATTATATCTGCTTTGTGTTTTTGTATCTTACTGAGCTTGTGAATATCCACTTGAATTCGTTCCCTGTAAAATAAATAAAATACATTATGTTTTCATTTTCCTCACATTTATTTTTGATTGAGTTTTTTTTAATTTAGATTGAAAAAAACATGTATATGATTAATAGTAAGACATGTCATAGATTCTGAATCGTTTTCAATCACTATATCCTTGCTGGGAATTTGTCAAATGATTTTTTTCTATCATAAATTTGACGTCCCATGAGCTAAATAAATTCAAAGGTCTTCGACAGGGTTTGATACACATAAAAAATAAAGGAGAAATGGGATTAAGGAAATTATGGGATTATGATAATTCCTGTACATATTTTTAATATTTTACGATCTTCTGGTGTCATATTATGAGTATTATTGTACCACAAATGAAAATGCAAAAACGTTTACATGTGAAAGAGGAGACAGTTGCCGTAGCTATTAGATAACTGGATATTGTATTAGTTTTTTTGCAGCCCGGAGGACCGGGCTGCTCTATACATATAAGTTTAAGTGTTGGTGTATGGGGATTGGGGCGGGAGTAGTTATTCAGAATTAAATGTTTTCTAAACATTGGAAAGATTGTTAATCAGATTGTTCTTTCCTTTATAAATTAGGAGATACATAATATATTTACTTCCATAAAGTGAATCTGTAAAAATATATATGT